GAAGTATAAAAAGGAAATCAGATAGCTTTTAAGTAAGCCTACATGTGCTTTCAACTATCTTTAAATAGAAATTAAATAGAACACACATACATTTAACAAGACGTTCGAGAAGCTAGACCATGATTTAAATACGTAGGAATTTGCCCTGCATTAGGGTTATCATTAATTTATAATTGTTTTCTCTTACTTTTTATTCAACATATCTTATTATAGTTTCTTCTGGGGTTTTTTTTTCTGTTTGTAGCAATGTAACAGTTGAAATGTCAAGATACTCATGTAAACGGGCTACAAAGAGGCAGGTAAGTTCGTGTGTTAATTAATCTTTAAAAACTCAAATGTTGAAAGGTTTTTAATCAACTAGCTATTGTTTATTGTACAATAGTTTGACTATTTTACATTGCAATGTCCCATTTTTTATCGGAGACAATAGAAGAAAAGTTAAAGTAACATATCATAAGTATTTTTGATTATTCATGTCAAGTAATATATTAAACGAGAACAATTTATATGTTTTAAAAGGTATAAGAATCTAATACAACAAAAAAGAGAGAATATAAATATACTAACAATCATTTTTTGAGTTTAAAATTGTTTATAATTTCGTTTTACTTGTACTGTTTTGTTTCTATGCAAGCTTGAATGGATGTACCAATATACAAAGATAAATGGATTCCCAGTCTTCAAATTTGCACTATATTCTTGAGGTAATATTTATTTTACATAATTTGCTGATAAAACATAAAATTAAGGGATAATGACAAAAAAGACCCTGCAATGTGATCCTGCTTTCGTTTCTTTTTGCATCAACAATGTACTTTTAATCCTACACTCCCTAGATACCTGCATATTCGTAGAATACTTTTGAGCTTTTCATGTATTCACATCTTATGATGAACTTAAGAGAGTGTATACGATCAAGATTTGATGTATTACATAAATAGAGTTGGTTATTTTTCAACCAAATACTTATCGCTTGTAAAATAATCATTACTCATTTTTAACATTTCTTTGTAACAGAGTGATTATATCAATGGCTGACAATATAATTTTGTCTCAGTTGGGTTCAGATATAAGTGAAAATATCTCCTAATCCTAAAACTTTCGTTTTTCCAAAAGCATAAATTGTGATTGACATTTTATGGAATTATTAGAACTGTTGAATTAAGTCGAGACTCTCCATGGTTTATTGAGAGTATTTTTCTCTTGCCCACCATCAATAATTCAATGAAACAATAACAGAAAAGAATCGTATATTTCAAGAGGATAGGTCTCTCTTACAAAGTTTTCATCAAACAATAAACATACCTTTCATAGAAAACAAAAAGGTTTTAAATACTAGCATCTAGGAGACAACTCACTTCCAAAACCAAAAAGGTGGCTCCCCCACTACTAATTGTTATAAGGGTAGACCACTACCAAAAAGAGATTTCCCAGAATCGCAAATATATGAAAAAAAAAAAAAACGTAAATACCTAATTATTCAATCTGGAGCTGCACTCGTTGATTTGGGATCCTAATCTTTACAACAAGAGATAAAGAATATGACTATGAGTTTAGGATCAAGTCATCTGTTACAACGCAACGAACTACTCTGCACAACACCCAAGGAATTGTATTACTTTTGTCATCAACTTCAGCCCAATCAAGACACGATTTGGTGTGTTTATTCTACTCCTCTTTTGGTTTACTTGTAAAACTTTAGTCTAACATGACATGGTTGCTAAATGCTCTAAATGTATGACATGCAGTATGGGCAGCAAATACTTCTTGGTTAACCAAACTATGTTTCATGGACTATTGAAGGTGTGAAGCGCTGGAAACATTTCATGCACTATAGAAGGTGTGAAAGGGCTAGAAATTATATGAAATCGAAAAGAAAAGAACTATTTAGATTATTGGTTGCAAATTTATAACTTTCTTCGAATCTTCTTTTTCTTTAGTTATTTCCAATTGTCCACAACTCTAAAAAAACTCTATTAATGGCATCACTTGGAGGTGCAGAGGTACACTGATGAATATTAGTCATTTACAAGAATGTCGGCATACGAAACCATTAAAGATTAAGGTCATTCTAAAAAAACTAACCTTAAGAGAAAGGAACCATGGCCTGTACACCATTAACCGATGGTTTAGGTTTGAAAAAAAAAGTAAATACAACCACTTATCGTACTTAAACATACAAAAACAACAACTTTACAATCCTTTAAAAGGTTATATAAAGTGTAAATATATGTTCATAAATTATAATTAATAACTGTATACTTTTAGAAAAATATGAAAAATTTGTTAATCTCCGTTTAAAAAATACGTCTCTCAAGTTGCTACGAACAATAGCAAAGATGTTTTCAGTTTTACGTCTAACAACATCATAATCTTTTCAAGGTAATTGATAAATCAACAAAATATATATTCTCAATCTAAATCTTGTTTCCTCTAGAATCACTTAAACTTAGTTTTTTGATCAATTCTCTAGGGCCGTGAAGTTTCCTAGTATATATATAATTGAATCGTTTGATCAAGTATTAGTGTTATGCCTTGTTTGACCCACTCGACGTTTACCCCTTCCAAAATGTTAGTTCTAGTCAATAAAAGTCTATTAATTATCTTTAAAATTGTTGAAACCTTTGTGATTTTTTTTTCTGAATTGTAATTGGGTTTTGAGTTCTCACATTTTTTTATATAGTTGGCATGGATCATAATAGAGATATTCAATAAAAGGCATCGATGATCGGTTTTAGCTAAAAAATCGCAATTAATTATTCAACCACAGTCCACAGCCCAATTCTTTGGATATGTAAAGCTAGCCATAAGAATTTTTGGTTCCACAAAGTTATCTGTTAACTAGTAGTTTTTGTAAGTTTGAACTCCAATTTTTATTTGTATATAATAGTTGTAAGTTTTTAAATTATTTAAAATTAGATAACTGAAAATATTTGTAAAATATAAAATAGAGACATTTTAAAAAAAAAGATAATTAAGTCAATTTATAAAAATATATATACAAATTGTTACATGCTATTTGAAGTTTTTTATATTTGAAGTTTTATTTTTTTTTGTTAAACTAGAAGTTAGAATCTCCTAATATGTAATAACTTATTCATATAGAGTTTTTTTTTTTAGAGTAAATTACAAAAATAGTGTATGTTTTTTGGTCATATTTGCAGTTTTAGTCCTTACGTTTAAAAATTCATAGATTGTATTGTATCACTATGGTTTATGAATATTGTAGCTTAGGTCCTTTATATATATAAAAAGACTAACATACCATTCCTTTTCTTTTAATGATTTATTATTATTATTATTATTATTATTATTATTATTATTATTATATAATTTTATTTTTTCTTTATTTTAATAGAATTTATATACATTTTTATAATTTTTTTTAAATTATGTATCTAACACACACACACACACACATATATATATATATATATATATATATATATATATATATATATATTCTTAACTTTATTTGTTTATCTTAATACTTTTGACATCTTATTCATATGTACGATTTAATATTGGTTCGTTTACGTTTTGTTCGTTCACAATATATTATGTTTTTGTTATGCTTTGCTCAAATAAAAAATTATAATGGAATCCCGGATAACTATCAAACATAAAATATAATTATTTAATGTTGTTTTTTTTATATGTTTTTCGTTTATCTCATTCATTGATGCACTTTACTTTTTTTTTTTATTCAGCTTAAAGGAGTTTTATTATTACTTTTTAGATGAATAATCTTAAATATTATGATAAACAACTATCATACCGTCATGACAACCATCAAAATAACAACTATATTTTAAAAACTATTTTTTAAAAGATTAATCTTAAATAAAATTTAACGCTAGTCAATACCCATTAAATCTATAATGTTTGAAAGAATAAAAAAATTTCCCTAGTATTTATTTTAACAACAGAAATAGGATTCCATTTAAAATATGAGGGGATTTTTTTTTTAATTATTTCAAACAATTTATACTTAATGGGAATTAACAAAGGATAAATTCTATTTAAGATTATTCATTTAAAAAGTAACAATAAAACATTTTAAAACTGAATAAAAAAAATAAAGAACATAATGCAAATGGAAAACACATAAAAAAAACAAACTTAAATATCTATAATTGATGTTTGATAGTTATCTGGTGTTCTATTTTAATTTGTTTATTCGAGAAAACATAAAAAAACATTATATAATGTGAACGAACAAAACATAAAAAAAACAAATATTAAATCATATATTTGAACAAGACGTCAAAAATATTAAAAGATTTTAAAACCACAAAAACAAAGATAAATAAATAAAGATTAGAGAAAAATAATATATATATATATATATATATATATATATATATATATATATATATATAATTTAGACAATTAATTTATGAAATTAAAAATAATTTTATAAGAAATTTATAAATTTTTTATAAAAATAAAGATCAAATAAAATTGTTATATAATAATAATAATAATAATAATAATAATAATAATAATACCTAGTGAAGAATCCCACGTTGCGGGTATGGATTCGCCAAAAAAATAAACAAAACAAAAAGATTTTATTGAGTTATATACAACTGATTAAAAAAAAAACCAATGTTTTAATATTATAATGATCAAAATGATAACTTGCTTTCATTATAGTTTTCCTAATAACTAATAATGTACCGAACAAATATTAGAGAATGCTTTCTGTTTTAATGTCCACCAAACTATTATGGGAGTATATATTAAGAATATATACCCCACCAGTGATCGTTTCTATATGTTGTTCTTGTTGAAGGATAAGGTTTGTAGGAAGCCCAGATGTTACTCCTTTTTTTGCTAGATAGATTACTTGTCAAGCAAAACAACAGGAAATTCAACTATGAATATTGTAAAAACAGAAAAGAAGAAATCAGACATGTATGCATTGCAGTGTTCAACTCTTTAAAACCTAATTACTACGGAAGATATCATAGTTCGGATGCTACCAAAATCAAAACCGTGGCTCAAAGAGCAATGTTGAAAGAGTGAATCACTTGAAATGTATTTGGAATCAAAAAATAAACAGAGTAGTTCTACATCATCATATTTCCTTGTCCTTCTCTTAGAGTATACCAAGATCTACAAATCTTGTTCTTATCATCCACATACTTTTATATTGTGCACCTCTTCTTCATTCTCTCTCAAGGCCTGGTTGACATTGTTAACTTCTTTCAAAAAGCAACTTCTATTAGAACCTGTAATTGATTTATTGATATTCAATAATTAAATACAAATGTTATTGTGTTCTAGGGCAGATGCAAAACAAATAAGCAGCTTACATGGATCATTTGTCAATTGATTGTATCTAAAAATAAAACACCAATAATTAAGAATTGTTGAAGAACAATGTCACACATCTATAATATACAATTATATTATATATAGTTTCACAAAACACATAAGGGTAAAATAGTCAATTTACATCTTCGATGTTAACATTGATGATATGAGGACTAAAGTTGACACCAACCGCACTTGAAACTAAATCACCTAAGCAAAATAAAGCCAAATATGAAAATGTTATCACGTGATTCCAATTACACCGCCTGTATGATACCATTTTTATTAATATAATGAAAAGAAAAATAAAGCCAAATATGAAAATTTTAGCATTTCATACGAATATCACCGCAAAATCATTATGAAGCATATGTGTAGCAACTATCCCTGAAATATCCCTTGCTATCACGATAATAGAAGGTTTGGAAGTATGTCATTTCTCAATCGACGATGCAAACATGAAAAGGGCAATATGAGAATTCTGCTCACTAATTTCCGTGAGAATTCAAAAAAATTCCCAAAAATTCATCTATTATCGATTAACAGACAACACTTGATCCATACAATATTTAATTTGGAAAAAAAAAACAGGTCCTTACTTTATAGCCCATTTTACCAACCATTTCCTACACCATTTGATACATGATTGGCTTAACCTGAAACAAAACAAAGCACTAAAATTTCAATTAGTTGAGGCAACATGAATGAAAAGTAAAAAAAAAAAAAAAAAAAAAAAAAAAAAAAAAAAAAAAGCCAAATCACCACTCAGTTTGAACATAGTGTATTGTACCCATGAGCAATACACTTGGCATCTCCACCACAAGAAAATGAAAATCAATTTAAGAATGACCATATATATGAGTATTACAAAAACTATATGAATATTCCAAAAACTATCTTTCATCACTATAAAATCAAAAATTTTAAGATTAAAAAATCCAAATACAAACAATAATCAGAAGTAAAATCCCTGTTCCATTTTCCACCTTCAATACAATTGCAGGATGTGGAGCATAGTCAGACATAGGGTCACCTTGAGGATTCTTATGTGCACATCTTACATGCTTACCATTTCTCTTGTTCCCATTCCTCACCTCAACTATAAAAGAAACCAAAGTATCATAAATTGATATTAATTTGCATACTTAGAACTAACTAAAACACCATAGCAGATTGTTTATCTTACCTGCTTCAACTACACTTACAGCTAAAAAAGCTACAATCCATCCATACCTATTAAAGAACCTTTATGATCATACCTCTTATTATCATATAAATTCGTTGTTGCTTCTAATATTCTCCTGCATATTTGAGATAATTTAGTTAATCTGGTTCTTGTTTATAGCTGAAATGGTTAAGGAAGCTTCAGTTAAAGGGTGAAGACAGTAAAGTTATATCCTTCATTTATCACAACGAAAAAAATACAATCACATTCCGTCTCATTCATCCTCTTCCCATTCTCCTCCTCCATAAAACCTTCAAATAGCTTTATGGAAATAATAGATTACAAATGGCTGATTTATAGAACAATACAATCAAATTAACGATTCAACTAATTGAGAGCTCTAACTCAGATGTAAAAAAAAATTATCAATTTGTAAACACAGGAATTAAAACATAAGTGTGTTCAAGAAATTTACCTTGGTGGCTTTTATTTAAAGGAAAAAGCTTTTGTAGTTGCTTTGTGCTCCATGATTGATTAAACGATTGAAGCCATTGAGGAAAGATGTACACATGTAGTTAAAAATACAGGCACATATAGTTAAAACCATAAACAGAGAATCAGATTGACGATTTATAGAGAAAGATCTTGGTGCTTCTTGTTTGGATTGGGAAACAAAGAGACACCGATGAGCCATTAGGACCGACCATCATCTTCGTTGCTGTAATGACCCTTGCCTTTCGTCTCCCTCCAAACGAAATTACCTGATGCCGATTTAGAAGAGTTGATACGGTAGGTTGATTCTCGATCCCGGTATTTTAAGAAGCTTTAATTGATTTACAATCTCGGAGAAAACATGGAAGAAATGGAGAAGATAGCTGCAAAGTAAAGGAGAAGCGATGGAGGAGAAGGAAACGGGTATAAACAGACAATCAGATTGATGCTTTATAGAGAAAGATCTTGGTGCTTCTTGTTTGGATCGGGAAACGCAGAGACACCGATGAGCCATTAGGACCGACCATCATCATCGTTGGTGTAATGACCCTCGCCTTCCATCTCCCCCCAAACGAAATTACCTAATGATAGTTTAGAAGGGTTGATACGGTAGGTCGATCCAATATACAAAACTCCATATATCACACGAAGGTGGAGCAGCCAACAATGAGACATAGACCGGTCGTCAGAATCTATTAACGGAAGAGAAGGGAGATAGTGGGGCGAAAAAGTTGGTGTGTGATAATCGATAGCAGGAGGTCAGTTGGGTATATCGGTGAATAGAAAGGAAGCGGTGGCAATCGACATTAATTAATCTCATTGTTATAACTGGCACGTAGCGATTGTGTGTAGATAGTAGAGAAGTGCATGTGTAATACACTATTGAGTATAATATATAATCATCAAAAAGTAAATTAGAGGGAAAAAAAAACAGCCAATCAGATACAAGAACTGTTCACCTGCAGTTCAAAACTAATATATAATAATAATAGTAATAATAATAATAATAATTTTTAACATAAAATGAAAAAGAAAAAGTAGGGGTAAAATAATCTTTTTATATGAAGCAAGGACCTAAACTGCAGTATTCATAAACCACATGGATGCAACCTATCAATTTTTAAACTGAAGTACCAAAACTATAAATATAACCAAAACACAGGGATCATTTCTTTAATTTACTCAGTTTTTATATTAAAACAAAAAAGTAGAAGTTTTCAAAATCTGTGTGCCCAATACATCATTAATGAAATTTTTTGTCACCGATAATGAAAGCATAGAAATATGAATCCAGACTTTATAATCATGGTTAAGCCAATGTTATTTCTAGGAGGGGTTTTTGTTTAAAGATATGATAAAAAAAAATATAAAATTCATACGTAGACCAAATAACTAAATTATTTGTTCCTCGTTATTTTTTGGGATATACGAGACGATCAGCTAAATTAGTTGTTTCTCAACATTAATCGACTCTTCGTCATTATCACCAACCGATATAATATAATTGATACATGCATGTCTATTTTCATGGAACCCACCAAAACAATGTAAAATGCATGTGTGTTACACCTTGGCGTGGAAGTCTTCTATTTTGTGGAGAAGAAGTTTCACAAGTAATCTGTCACGACACGTTCAATTAGAATTAGTGAAAATAAAAGTCAAATTGATTGAACTTTGATTAGTCAACCCATGGGATTTTTGAGTAGTCAAACATGCCTGGCACTTCAAGATGTAGATATAAATGTCACCCATATCCATATCTCACAACACAAAGAAATTTACATAAATTTCAAGTATCTTTTCATTAAATTAAATCCACCTTTTCAAAGTCTCAGAATGGCAATACATGGTCTTGTTCGTGACACAGAATCTATGGAATATTTCCCACAGCCTTCGATCCCTGACTCCTCATGTAAAATACAATATGATGGATACATGGAAGGAGAAGATGAGTCAGATGAGGTGCATGATCACATAATCGGTGCCCTTAGAGAATCTTTAGAGGAATTTGATATCAAAGCTAAAGATTTTTTCAAGAAAATTGTTTCCAACGGGGACTTGGAAATTCCGTTAGGAAGGCTTGCAAGAGAAGCCATAGGAGAATCCCAAGCGAAGCATCTTCTGGAAAAGATTACAAAAAAAGTGGGAAAGAAGATGAAAGCTCGAAATCATGATGATTTTGTGGTTGGGGAAAGAGGGGCGAGTATTGATGAAGAGTTGAATCAGAAACTTGAGCGTTTTAAAGTCAAGACTGTAAATATTGGAGGGGACGCTGTCAAAGAAGATAAAAAATGAGTTCCTTCAAGTCTAATTATTTTATCAGAAATCATTTGAGTTCTTTGATTCTTTGAAGTGTTTTTTTGTATCGAATCTTACATGTTATATATTGAATAACGGTTGATGTAATTTGTTTTCCAAAATTGTGGATAATTATGTTAGAGTAATTCAGAAGTTGTTTTTTACTGTTTTTATTAGGCACATTTCATTTTGAGTAGGAAGAATAAATCAAGGCCACGTAAGGATGTATTACGTGGTTTCTAGCTAGTAGTTAGTAGTCCCTATTTTTCTGCATTACTTTTGGTTTGAATACCCAGGCATTGTGTACGTTGTAACTATCTTTTCCTGTTGAATAATACACGAAAACCTTTGCCTACATTATCCTCTCTGTAAAATCTTCTCTCTACCATCTCTGTTTTGCAGGAGCCTCGTGAAGAGCCTGTGAAAACCAACAAATTGGTATCAGAGCCCAACCCGGTGTATGCCCAAGTATCAGTTTCGTGAAGAGATGTCAGGAAGCAATGACAATGGTGAAAAAGACGAACAAATCACCCTCCACTATCCGATGTTATCCAGGAGTAATTATGGGGCATGTGCAATCAAAATGCATCTGTTCATGCAAGCCCACGGTCGTATATTATGTTGTTGAGCCTCGAACAACCAACACGGGTGGTGGAGGTGAAGAAGGATAAGATGGCACTGGCAACCATATACCAAGGAACCCCTGAAGAGTTTGTAATGTCACTATTTGAGAAGAAATCGGCCAAAGACATGGGAAGCTCTGAAAACAATGTTCGTAGGGGTAGATAGAGTGAAGACTGCAAGAGTTTAGACCCTGAAAGCTGAGTTTGAGGCTATGATTATGAAGGAGACATAAAGTGTTGATTATATTTCTGCGAAGGTAACCAATGTCGCCAGCACCATGCGCACTTTGGGAGAGACTATAGATGAGGGCTATGCGGTGAAGAAATTACTCAGGGCAGTGTCATCAAAGTTTCTTCAAGTTGCCTCAACTCTTGAGCAATTTGGGGACTTGGACACGATGAGTGTGGAAGAAGTGATAGGTCGAGTAAAAGCCCATGAAGAGAGAATGAAGGGGCATGGAGACAGTGATGATCAAAAACTTCTCTTGACTCATCAAGAGTAGTCAGAAAGAACCAAGAAAAAGGGAGAAGGTGACTCCAAATCTAAGTCAAATCAAGGAGGATTTGGAGGTTCACAAAGACGAGGCAGAGGAAGAGGTCGAAACAGCGGTGGTCGTGGTGGTCAAGGAAGGGGTGGCTCACATCAACAACGAGAAAGGAGTAACGGTGCATCCAATAGCCAAGAAAAAAGTGGGATACAATGCTATAACTGCTAGGATTTCGGGCATTACGCAACTGAGTGTAAGAACCCAACAAAGGAGAGGAGTCACGAAAATAATTTGATACAAGAAGACAATGAACCTACACTATTACTTGCTTTTGTTGTAAACAAAGAAGAGTTTGGTGAAGTGTTTCCTAAATGAAGAAAATGTGAGTCCAATACTGAAAACTAAAGGTAGGGAAGCAAATCAATCGATGCTATGGTATCTTGATACAGGTGCAAGCAATCACATGACCGGTGATAAAGAGAAGTTCTGTGATCTGAACAAGAAAATACAAGGGCATGTCAAATTTGGAAATGAATCCAAAGTCAGAATTGAGGGCAAAGACTCAATAATTTTTCATTGTAAGAACGGAGGGCATAGAAAACTCCAAGAAGTGTACTACATACCTGACTTGTACAACAACATCATCAGCCTTGGTCAACTATCAGATAGTGGAGACGAGATCAAGATAAAGGAGCCTTTTTGTGGATTCATGATAGAATTGGTAGACTACTTATGAAGGTCCAGAAGTCCCCAAATCATCTATACAAAATGGAACTTGAAGAAGTGAATCAAAACTGCATGGTTGCTAAAATTGGAGATCAAACGTGGCTGTGGCACACGAGGTTAGGTCATGTGAACTTTACCTCACTAAAGTTAATGTATGAAAAGGGTCTGATTGAAGGAATTCCCAAGATGGTGATCCCATAAAGACCATGTGAAGGGTGTCTCAGTGGGAAGCAAACTCAACTCCCATTTCCATTGAGTAAAAGTTTTAGGGCAATGAAAAGATTGGAGCTCATACATGGCGATATGTGTGGACCTGTTACACCACTAACACCAGCTGCCAACATGTATTTCATGTTGCTAGTAGATGATTTCAGCAGAGTAATGTGGGTGTACCTATTAAAATCAAAAGATGAAGCATTTCAAACATTTAAGAATTTCAGAACAAAGGCTGAAGTAAAGATAGGTGAGAAGATGAAGATATTTAGAATAGATCGAGGAGGGGAGTTCCTCTCAAACCAATTCACCATGTATTGTAACTATACTGGGCTCGATCGACAATACACAACACCCCATTCTCTACAACAGAACAGGGTGGTAGAAAGGAGAAATCGGTCTGTACTGGAGATGGTTAGGAGTAGCGTGAAAACAATGAATATACCAGATGTGTTATGGGGAGAGGCTATGAGTTACGTTGTTTATGTACTCAATAGGGTAAGCACGAAAGCCATAAAAGACTTTACACCATATGAAATGTGGACTGGAAGAGAGCCACATGTTGGTCATCTAAGGGTATTTGCGTGCATTGACCACATGAAAATCTCTAAGAACCATCTGAAGAAGTTAGATGATAGAAGTAGGAAGGTTGTGTATCACATAACTGAAAAAGGATCGAAAGCTCATAGACTGCTGGACCCTGATACGGTAATGTTGTATGTAAGTAGAGATGTGATATTTGAAGAATATCAAGCTAGGAATTGGGAGAAGATAACCAAAATAAAATCGATTCTCAGGATAAGTTTCATAGTGGAAGGATTTGATTTGGATGGCTTTTAGGATGAAGAAGTCGACCCGGAACCATCAACCCCACAATATGGTCATGAGTCAAGTAGTGACAGTAATTGGATCGATGATGAAGAGCCCATTAATTCTCCATTGGGTTCCCAAGGAAGCTCACAAAGTATGATGCCCATAAGCCGGTCGAGTACACAAAGTTCACCTATCTCACCAATCACACCGACCCCATCTCCTACCACCACCTCTTGTTCCACAGGTGGTGGCACACCATAACAATATCGACTTCTCACAGATCTGTGTGAGAATACAAATGAAATCCATATTCTCGTGGAAGACCTTATGATGATCTGGAATGAAGATGAACCCAGTACATACCAGGAAGCGAGAGACAAGATCGAGTGGGTCAATGCGATGAAAGAAGAAATGTCATCAATTGAGAAGAACAAAACCTGGACCCTTGTTGAACTTCCAAAAGGCTGAAAAGCAATTGGGTTAAAGTGGGTTTACAAGGTAAAAAGAGGTCCACACTGAGGAATCTCAAAGTATAAGGAAATAATTGTGGAAAAAGGGTACATGCAAAAACAAGGGATTGATTATGAATAAGTTTTTGCTCCGATGGTAAGGATTGAAACTGTTCGTGTTGTAAGGTCCCTAAAACTGAGGGTCCAAACCAGTGATAAAAAAACAGCGATCAAACACAATGAGAATGGAGTAGAAGAAGAATTAAGCCAAGTATGCACACGTTTAAATCATAAAAACGTCAAATACACCTTGGTTACACACACTAGGACCGTAAACTATTGACACGTCACTCTGGTTAGTCAACCCCTGACAAGACTCTTTGTCAACTGCTTTGTTGGAGGCCACATGACATTTTTAATAGCCTTTTTGGTGATTGGGTCGTACACATCTTTAGCAGTCTTCAAAAAGGATTCAACAGTCTTCATCTTATCGAATCCTTGCCTCACCTGATTTTCCAAGAAGTTTTTGAAATCTATTGCCCAAGGATCATTAGAGGGATTGTAAAAATGAGCAGCAGACAATTTAGCAAGATCCACCTTGGTAAGCGAGGAAAAGTCATTTTGATGCTTATAATACTCCACGGTGTTGCTCTTTCTTTTAACCAGCCAACAATTGATTTTATCATGAAAGCCCCGTATACAGATTCCTGATCGATCTCCATATTTATGCTGGAACTTTTTTTTTTATTTGGGCCAGTCACAGTGTAACGCCCGTTGATTAGGGCTAGTCAATTTAGAGACAATGAGCGTCCAAAAATGAATATTTGATGAAATATTAGTTAGAATGAATAATCTTAACTATGTTATAGTATATGTTACAAAGATTCCGTACATATAAAGAACGCCGAAATCCGAGTTATAACAAAGAGGTTATGACATGTCGAAGTTTCGCGACAGAACCCACACGACGCTGAATGACGTAAAAAGTGAATTTACGTTAGAGTGATATTTAGACTTAGCAATCTAAATGAAAGTCGTAGAGTTCGTCAAACTATGAGCGTGCATAAAAAGAACGTCCAAATCTGAATTCGTTTGAGGAAGTTATGATTTTTCTAAGTTTCGACTTAGCGATATGTAGCCCGAATACTCGATTTGAGACCGAGTGGTTTTTAGCTGAAACAATCTAAACGAGAATCGAAGATCTTGTTGATAGTAGTGCAACGGTAAAAAGACAAATGAAAACGGACGTCAGATGAAGAAGTTATGAATTTATAATGGGATTTTCCTATCCGGGCATACTAAAATAATATAATAAATATAAAAACAAAATTAGCCGACAGAGTCTAAACGAAAGCTGTAGAGCGTAGTCTCACCTATGTGTGGATATAAAGAACATCAAAAATGGAGTTTGTATGAGGAAGATATGAATTTTTGAATTATTAAATAATTAAAATATTAAATTTAATTATAAATTTCGATATTATCCAAAAAGGGAGGGGGGGGGGGGGGGGGGGGAGTCAGCGGCCTTATCCAAACTACGCCCAGCGTAACTCTAATTATGCCCAACGTAATTCGAAGAATCAGCCCCTATATAAAGGGTGCGAGGGCAGCCGAGTTCCTTGCTCAATTCCTCTCATCTCTCTCTCTCTCTCTCTCTCCCATTTTACCTCGTTTTTCGTGCAAGA